CATAGTGCTGTGATTGGCCAAAGCATTGCACCTAACCTGTGGTCAAGTGCATTGCTTTGGCCAATCATGGCTCTCACATGATTGCCGAACGCCCTTACCATTCATATGTTCCAAAAATACACGAACGGCCGATAATCGAGTTGAACTTATTTTCAACTCGAACATCGAGCCCAACATTAGTTGCAACCATTAAATATATTTGGGTGTGGTATTTTTAGCCCCCTTACTCTGCTGTCTGTTCCACCCCCATTATTAGGTCCATTGATTTTCAAAGTTCCCAGGAATGATAACGCTGTTCTACAAGGATGGCTCTTGATTTCAGCCATCTGTGGCCAGATTAGAAGACTAGAAGTCCCCACATATCCAGAATTAAAATATTTATTCAGGGTGACCATAATATTTAATACAACCTTCACTTTTGTCCTAACTCTTTATTAAACTCTTGTTTGCGGTCATTCCTACAATTCTCCCAGGTATTCCAAATTGGCTGCAGTGCACCACCACACATTCACATCTGTGCATTGCCATGTATTATAGGACAGTTGCATTTGGATTTACTTTATATAAATGTTAGGACACCATTGAGAATGAACAGAAATACATATATACTGTGCATTACTGTAGTAAGGTCCATTAAAAACACAGGTTTCACCAGGTGTTACTGGGAGTTCCAAGGTGTGGAGCCAACCCAAACCTTGGACTGGACATAAGGAGAGAGGGGGAGGGAGACGGGGTTGAGTTACTGCTTTGACTTACTCACTTGTTCATGTAAATGTCACCTTGAGCTATAGAGCTCTGTAAACAATGGCCAAGTTACCAAAATTGCACACTTTTCAACTGTCTCACATTTGGTAGGACAGTCCCGCTTTTTTGCTAGGCATCCTGTCTCAACTGCGTTCCAAGCAGTGTCCCAGAAATGAATGCGTCCACATACATGGCCATAAATGACAGGCGACATAATATATAGAGCAGGACCTCCCATCTCTCTGCATACTGTGTAGCCCGGGACCCCCACATAGGCTTGCAGTGCAGGCATTTTAGTGATGAGTACCATTCTGCGCTGCACCACTTTGGACTACTCTGTAGCTTGGGATTTCCCCTCTCCACCTCCAGCGTGCAGTACAGCAAGGGAGTAGTGTGGTGCATAATTCCTGGGCACTCCTTGGCTTCTGAATAGACGCTGAGGAGTGCATTGCAGGGCAATCACATTTGGGCAGGCTCAACCCCGCCAGGTTCGCCCTCAGCTTGTCCGGATGCCTAACCTGTTACTCACCAGAATCGGAAAGAAGATGGGGAGAATGATAATGGCACAGGGGTGCTGGGAAGGGTGTGGGGGTTAACTGGAGGCATAGGTGTGTTGGCGGGGGGAAGGGGGGGTGCAAGTAGAGGTGTGCTGGGGGGGGGGGGAGGGGAATAATAGCAGAGGTGTGCTGGAGGGAGTGAGGGAGATGGAAGCAGATATATGCTGGGGGGAGGGGGGATGGAAGAAGAGGTGTACTGTGCTGGGGATGGAGGGTTGAAGGCATATTTGTGCTGAAGAAGGGAGAGGGGGGAATGGATGCAGAGGTGTGTTTGAGGGGGCAGCACTACAGGCAGAGGCATGCGGTGGGGAGGGGCATTGGCAACCAAGATGTGCTGGGGGGGATCAAAACATGGGTATGCTGGGGGAGAAGGATTTGGAGGTGGAGATATGCTGGGTGGAGGAAATAGAGGCAGAGGTTTGATGAGGGGAACTGGAGACACGGGTGTGCTGGGGGAGGCACTGGAGACAGAAGTTTCCTGGGCATGGGGACATTGGAGGCAGAGGTGTGCTGGGGATGGGGGCATTGGAGGCAGAGGTGTACTGGGGGGGGCAATGATGACAGAGATATGTTGGGTGGGCAAATTGGATCCAGAGGTGGGTCGAGGGAGGGGAGAATTGGAGGCAGTGATCACCTGGAGGGGGGGGGGGGGAATTGGAGGCCCAAGTGTGTTGGGGGTCGAGGGAATTGGAGACAGAGGTGTACGGGGGGGGATGGAAACAGAGGTGTGCTAGGGGATACAGAGATTTGATGGGGTGGGGGGGTCACTGGAGGCAGGGACATGCTTAGGGGGCATCTGTGAATGGAATCTCATGAGTCACAATATTTTCTCCCCCATTCCCAGACCATGTTTCAGGCAGGAGAAGCAATGGAAGGTCCTCATCAGGAGGCAGAGGTGTCTTGGGGGTCATTGGAGGCAGGGATGTGCTGGGGGTGCATTAGTGGCATAGGATCACTGGGGGAGGCATAGGAGGAAGAAGTGTTTTTGGAGGGGACACTGTAGGCAAAGGCACTGGAGGAAGAGGTATTTGAGTCTTTGGAGACAGAGGTATTCTGGAGGAGCCATTGGAGGCAAAGTTGCACTTGGGGGGGCATTGGAGGCAAAGGTGTGCTGGGTGAGACATTGGAGGCAGAGGTGTTCTGGGGCAGTAATTGGAGGCAGAGGCATTCTGGGAGAGGCATTGAAGGTAGATATGTGCTAAGGGAGGCACTGGAGGCAGAGGTCTGCTGGGGAGGCATTAGAAGCAGAGTAGTGCTTGGGTAAATCATTGGAATAAGAGGTCTGCTGGGGGCACCTTAGTGGCAGAGTAGTGCTGGGGGGGTACAGAAATCAGATGGAGGAAAGGGGGAGGCATCGGTGGAGGAAGTGTGCTGCAGGCATCTCTAAATAGAGGAGAGTTTCACAAAAGACCCAAAGCTATTCACTTCTGAAGCAGAAGTTCAGAAACAAGATAAAATGGGGCATCCGTGCACAGATTTCTCCAGGATTCAGTTGCTTCAGATATCCTTTACTGAAGCTATCATTTTTTTTTTTTAGCAAAACTTTAGCTTTAACGATATGCCTGTTTTAGAAGCACATCCGCTTTAAATAATTGCCCCGCCCCTAATTAAAGTTCATTCTCTGCCCATAGTGACTGAATGGATGAACAGCAAAAAAATGTCCGTGAATTTTTAAAAAAATGTTGGCAACTATGCAGGTGGTAAAGAAAAGCAATACATGGGAAAAGAGACTAAAGTTCCACTTGCTGACTGGATATCAGGGCTAAGCCATAGGGGAATGTTTAATCTTTAAAAATCACTCCCTACACAAGTAGTATGTAGTGGCAATCAATCTCACATGATTATACGAGGGGTATTCACGTCAAACTGGGACTTTTAATTCTACAGGTATTAAAAGGATTGCTAGTGTGGTGCTACACGCAGTAGTAAGTGGCAAGTATGTCCTAATACGGATAGGTTGCGCACATGTCACAGGCCAGTTCAGAGACCAATAATCAAGATGGCAGACAACAGTGTTAGTTTGTGCATGGAACAGAGTGTGGTGATGGAAGTGTCTTGTGAACGAACGCGTAAAATACTAGCCTACAGTCATTCCTGTGAACATTCAGCATATGGAACACCTGATCCTGGATAATCGATGCATAACCTGTTGAGAAATTGCACAAGAGACCAATCTTTCTGTGGGAACGGTGAACACAATTATTCACAAACATTAGCATTTTCAAAAAGTTAGCGCACGCTAACTTTTAGGTATCAAGACAGCTTTCTACTTTTGACAGGCACAGAAGTGATGTGCATCTGTGGAAAAAATGGCCTGATTTGATCACTAAGGGCGTCCTGTTTCTCCAGGACAAACACAAGCTCATACTGCTCACTGCACTAGGTGCACATCACAACAACTCAGCTGGGAGGCATTGCCACATCCCCCTTACAGCCTGGACCTCACGCTTAGTGATTTCCACCTCTTTGGACCCCTAAAAGAGTTCCTCGGAGGCAGGGGTGGACTGACAACTCATGGGGCCCCCGGGCAATAGGGGATCATGGGGCCCCTGTGTCCTTGCCCAAACTCAAAAAAGCCTATGAAAAAGGTACCAGGGGCATCTCATGGGGCCCCCTACTGACCCCGGGCCCTCAGGCAGTACCCAAGTTTCCAAATGGTCAGTCCGCCCCTGCTCGGAGGTCAGCATTTCAGCACTGATGACGAAGTGAAGCAATCTGTCCTAGGATGGTTCAGGAGTACTGACAATTCTTTCTATGCTGAAGCTTTCCAGACATTAGTTAAATGCTGGGATGTGTATAACTGTAACATGGGAGTATGTAAAAAAAATACATGCAGTTTCCACTCGAAGTTTGCTCCCCCAGCAGCCAGAACTCTCCTCTGTTCTCCAGTGCTCCTCCGCAGATGTGGGTAGATCCTCGCCTTTCTGCACTGTACATGTTAATGTTGGATTTAACCCTGAGTTCAGCTTTAATATGCATCTTTTTATTACTTAACATATTTTAAAAAAAGAAAAAAAAAAACAAGAAAAATGCATTATTTAGTCCTGATGATAACATATAAACATAGACATATGTACAAACCCTCAGAACCTTAGATATCTCTCTGCAGTATGCATATTTCTTTGTGTAGACTATAACACTGTCACATTTTCCCACTGTATTTTCAGATTACATCAAGGAATCTATGAGGCTGCCTCTATGGATTTGGATATATGGAATTAGCTCTTGGTTTTGTAGAACTCTGAGTGAACAGCTTTAACACTGCTTTAGTAAGTAGAGATGAGGGAATGGATTCAAAATTCACTAAAACTTTGCCAGATGTGATTCTGCCCAGGCAAACAACTCACAATTCTCCAACAGCCCTGGACAGACATGTTCCCATTTGTCCAGTTCACAATAAAACAAATCATGAATCTAGGTAATTTAAATTAAATCTATGTGAATCAGGTACACTGAGCCCTGGTTCACACCAGTGCTGCTTTAAAGTTGCGCAAAGTCGCGTGACTTTGAAGCCACCTACTCAGTGCGACTTAATTTCGCCTTGCTGATACACTGTGCTGTACTTCATTTAACAGATGTCAATGCAAGTTGCAATGAAGTTGCACACAAATAGTGTAGGAACCTTTTTCAAAGTTGCTGAGACTTGATTTGCACTGCTTTGACTGGTTCCCCTGCCGGTAATGGGGTACGACTTGTCATGCGACCAGGGGCGGACTGACCATTTGGAAACTCGGGCACTGCCCGAGGGCCCGGGGTCAGTAGGGGGCCCCATGAGATGCCCCTGGTACCTTTTTCATAGGCTTTTTTGAGTTTGGGCAAGGACACAGGGGCCCCATGATCCCCTATTGCCTGGGGGCCCCATGAGTTTATCAGTCCGCCCCTGCATGCGACTCTCATATAGTCTTCATGTTACATAGTTTGTACATCTAAAGCTGATTGTACAAAGACTGTAATGAGTATGTTGACACTAAACTAAGGATTTTTTTTTTTAAATTCTACTATAATAACATTTCCTTCTATGAAATATATTCAGTTTCGTTCAAACACGCACATATTTTGAGCTCGACAACTCCATCTGCTGGTAGGAAACTCTGCAAATGAGGAGTCATTTCAGATGTCAAAAATGTGCACAAAATGTCAGTATTTAACATTCAAGTCAGATATTTTACCAGGTGTAGGACACCTACTCTGTCCTTCCTTGCATTGATTTTATTATAATGCATCATCCAATGCATGACACGTTACAGACAACATAATTCCAGGCCTCTAACAGGACACTGTTATCCAGACATACAAGGATGATTTGCCAAAAATACTCTCTGCCCTTAGAAGCTCTGCATAGTTTCCCTCTGAAATGCACTCCAGGGTTTTGCTTGTGAAAACAATAGGAAGGGCTGACAGATGTAGAGCCTGAAGCCAAGAAAACACTTGCATTATTCCGATATGCTGCTTAGAATTCAACCTACAGACTCTCTGCTCTTCACAGAAAACACATTAACAGACACAGGCCTAAATGATTATTAAGCACACCAAAGTGCAGACCTCATTCAAAAAGCAGAACTTTACTGGTGGCTGCAAATGATATATGCAATGCTTTGTTTAAATATTCATATTCATTACGGTATCTTACTGGATTTTCAGTTTACCAAATGCCTCATTCAAGAGAGCACAACAATACTTGTCTAGGTTTAGGTCCATTATTTTCCAGCAGGCCTCACTTCATAAATTTGGTATACAGTACTGTGTATACAGTATATATATGCACTAACAGCCTACATAGGAAGTTGACCCTATGATCACCCCACATGTTAACCCCTTCCTGCCCAGTGCCATTAGTACAGTGTCAGTGCTTTTTATTAGCACTGATCACTGTATTGGTGTCACTGGGGATGTCAGTGACACCAAGTCAGTTCCCCCAGTGTCAGAATGCCCGCCGCATTCTGCTATAAGTCGCTGATCACCGCCATTACTAGTAAAAAAGAAACAAAGTTCCATTATATACAGTTAGGTTCATATATATTTGGACACAGGCACAATTTTAGTTTTTTTCAGGTATTTACCAAAACATATTCAAGCTATAGTAATATAATGGATACAGGCTGACAGTGCACACTCTCAGGTTTAATTTGAGGGTATGTAAACAGCTTTTGATTCAATTGTTCAATTACTTTTGGTCCCTTGAAAAGGGGGGGATGACTACTCTTAAGAGCTGTAATTCCTAAACCCTTCCCCCAATTAGGATGTACATACCCTCAAATTAAACCTGAGTGTGCACTTTCAGCCCATATCTGTTATATAACTATAGCTTGAATATGTTTTGGTAAATACCTGAAAAAAAACTAAAATTGTGCCTGTGTCCAAATATATATGGACCTAACTGTATACCACCATTTGTATACCACCATTATAACTTTCACGTAAACCAATTAATTTACACAATTGAGATTTTTTTCTATTAAAGACATGTAGCACAATACATTTTGGCCTAAATTTATGACACAATTTGATTTTTAAAATTTTTTTACTGGACCTGTTTACTAGCCAATGTAAAAAATACTGTTTTTTTTTTTACACAAAATTGTCGGTATTTTTTTGTTTATTGCACAAAAAATAAAAAATGCACAAGCGATCAGATACCACCTAATGAAAGCTCTATTTGTGGGAAAAAAAGGACATAAATTTTTTATTTGGGTGCAGCATTGCATGACAATTGTCAGTTAACCACTTCCCAACCGTGCTATAGTCGAAGGACGGCTACAGCGCGGTTGTCTACTTCTGGGAGGACAGCCATGGACTCCCAGAACATGCCCAGAACATGCCCCCTGCGCACCCCCATGGGTGTGCACCCGGCGCCGCCAGTGATCGCTGTGTCCTATGGACACAACTGATCATGTGATGCGGTAAAAGGCCAATCACAGCAGCCTTTTATCACATGATCATCTGTGTCCAATGACACAGCAGATCACTGGGTAAATTCAGTTGCCGGTTATCAGCTGCACTTTCCTCATGCTGTCACAGCGTGAGGAAAGTACTGCCAAGAACCAGCAATTGTCAGCGAAGGGATTGGCACTGATCATCAGGGCACTGATGATCAGTGCCCAGCAGTGCTACCCACCTGTGCCCATCAGTGTCACCCACCTGTGCCCTGCAGTGCCCCCCATCAATGCCGCCCAGCAGTGCAGCCAGTCAGTGCCACCCATCACTGCCCATCAGTGCCGCCTATCAGTGCTCATCAGGGCTACCCATCAGTGCCGCATATCAGTGCCCATCAGTGCCACCTATCAGTGTGCAGCATCATCAGTGCCAGCTCATCAGTGCCGCCTATCAATGCTGCCTATCAGTGCCCATCAGTGCTGCCTACCCATGCCACCTCATCAGTGCCCATCAGTGCTGCCTATCAGTGACCATTAGTGCTGCCTATCAGTGAAGCATCATCATTGCCGCCTATCAATGCTGCCTATCAGCGCTCATCCATGCCACCTCATCAGTGTCCATCAGTGCTACCTATCAGTGACCATTAGTGCTGCCTATCATTGAAGCATCAGCAAAATTACCTGTTTACAAAATTTTATAATAGAAACAAAGAAAAACTTTTTTTTTTTAATTTTTTGGTCTTCGCAAAAAATAAAATACTCAGCAGTGATTAACTACCACCAAAAGAAAGCTCTATTTGTGTGAGAAAAAAATGATACATATTTAATATAGGTACAGTGTTGCATGACCGTGCAATTGCCTTTCAAAGTGCGACATCGCTGAAAGCTGAAAATTGGCCTGGGCGGGGGGAGTGCCCAGTAGGCAAGTGGTTAAAGTAATGCAGCGCCCTATCACAAAAAATGGCCTGGTCAGGAAGGTAATTCCTCTGGAGGGCAAGTGGTTAAACTGATGGTAAACACTAATTTTTTTTTAATAACAGGTTTATATTTACCGGCTCTGTGCAGTGGAACCCTTTTCAGGTATCCCGCCAGTGCTGCTGGCTCCCCCTCTTCTTGGTGGTACCCCATAGGAAAACGCTTCCTATGGGGGCCACCTGAGTGCTCACTCCCAAGCCCTGCTGTCTGTGACTGTAGACACGGACATCGGGACTTGGCCCCACCTTCGCTCCCTTGTCACTGGCTTTGATTTATAGGAGGACCTGATGGCTCCCGCTGCCTCAGCAAAGCCTGTGAGACCAGGAAGACAGGAAGTGGGAGGAGAGAAGAGATGCAGACAGTCACAATCGAATCAAGATCGGATCGAATGTGGGCTCCGTGAAGTATAAGGATGGGGGGAGGGGCAATTATCATGTTTGAAATGTTTTACCTTCATGCAAGGAATGTATTACAGTAAATAATGTTTAGGTTTCAGAACCACTTTAATGCATTCCTTGCATGAAGACATCAATATCGTCCCTTTACCTCACCCTTCCGTTTATTTACCTGAGCCCTCATTTGATTCACGAAATTGCCCGGGACAGTCCCGAAAATCTGACAGATGTCCCGCTCAGAGCTTGTCCAGGAAGAATCCGGAACAGTAGGCTCAGTCGCGGACAAACTGAGACTCTTGCCGATTCATTGTATGGCAAATGGTTGCTGCATCGGGGTAATAATAGAGACACACTCACAGAGAGATCCCCCTGCTTCCCCTTCTGCCTCCATTGGTCAGTCCTGAGTGAGGGGAGTGGTTACCAGGGCCAGTCAGTTGTGGAAGCAGTTCTGTACACCAGTTCTGCTGTCCAATCACCGCTCACCTTTCATCCATAAATGCCATCAGACTGCAGCAAAGGGCCTATTGGTTGTTTGCAACCCCAGGGGCTGATTGGTACAGATGAACATATACAGTGTATGCTTGCCATGCTGCCCTAAAAGTCCTGTATAGACTGTCCAGGTGTTACATGGATCTGAGTGGAGGCTGACTGAGTGCACTGAGCACTTACAGTTGTGACCAAAATTATTCAACCCCCACTGAAATTGAGTGTTTTGGCCAGTTTGACATTGCTTTTGATCATTCAGTCATCTTGCTTACATTTACATTAAAGAGGCACTTGTAGGTCAGACAAATATAACATAACAGTTATAATGAAATAACCACAAATGTCTTTTCTGTGCTCACAGCATTATCAGTTTTATTCAACCCCCAAGTGACATTCAATCTTAGTACTTAGTACAGCATCCTTTTACAGTTATAACAGCTTTTAAACGTGAAGCATAGCTTGACACAAGTGTCTTGCAGCGATCTACGGGTATCTTCGCCCATTCTTCATGGGCAAAGGCCTCCAGTTCAGTCACATTCTTAGGCTTGCGCACTGCAACTGCTTTCTTTAAGTCCCACCAGAGGTTCTCAATCGGATTTAAGTCTGGTGACTGCGATGGCCACTCCAAAATGTTCCAGCCTTTCCTCTGCAACCATGCTCTAGTGGACTTGGAGGTATGCTTGGGATCATTGTCCTGTTGAAAGGTCCAACGTCTCCCAAGCCTCAGGTGTGTGACGGACTGCATCACGTTTCCATCCAATATCTCCTGGTACTGAAGAGAATTCATGGTACCTTGCACACGCTGAAGCTTCCCTGTACCTGCAGAAGCAAAACAGCCCCAAAGCATGATTGACCCTCCACCATGCTTCACAGTAGGCAAGGTGTTCTTTTCTTCATAGGCCTTGTTCTTCCTCCTCCAAACATAGCGTTGATCCATGGGCCCAAACAGTTCTAATTTTGTTTCATCAGTCCACAGAACACTATCCCACAACTTTTGTGGTTTGTCCACATGGCTTTTGGCATACTGCAGTCGACTCTTCTTATTCTTTGGAGACAGCAAGGGGGTACGCCTGGGAGTTCTGGCACGGAGGCCTTCATTACGCAGTGTGCGTCTTATTGTCTGGGCTGAAACTTCTGTACCCACATCTGACAAATCTTTTCTCAGTTCCTCAGCAGTCACACGGGGACTTCTCTCCACTCTACGCTTCAGGTAGCGCACAGCAGTCGAAGTCAGCATCTTCTTTCTGCCACGACCAGGTAGCGTTTCAACAGTGCCCTTTGCCTTGAATTTGCGAATGATGCTTCCTAAGGTGTCTCTTGGTATGTTTAACATCTTTGCAATCTTCTTATAGCCATTGCCCTTCCTGTGAAGAGAAATCACCTCTTCTCTTGTCTTCCTGGACCATTCTCTTGCCTTCACCATGTTTTGTAACCACACCAGTAAATGTCTAGAAGGAGCTGAGTATCACAGTCATTTTAAAGCTGCCTAATTGGTGCTTATTATGCTTGATTGCTGCTCGGTGACATCCACAGGTGTTTTCAATACCTGATGGAAAGCACCTGTATGAACCTCTGTTCTTCAGAGTGGTAGTCTTTAAGGGGTTGAATAATTGTGGCAATGAAGAAAACCACATAAGAACCATTTACTACTGTATTACATAAACAATTGATGTCATTTTAGTTGCATTTGGGTAGTTTACAACGTCCTTGTAGGATTTGATTCTGAATACAATTCCAAATGTACACTATAGTCCCCTAAACCCCTTTACAGCATTGGGGGTTGAATAATTTTGGTCACAACTGTATGCCATCCATACATGAGTCAAAATTCGACCTAAGAATAATCGTTCCATTTTTGCTCAGTTAGTGGATCAATGCCACCGGTCGATTTTTGTGGTTCCTCCCCTTTTCAGTGATCGGGCATGTTGGAAGATTTGTGAAAAATGACCAATTTTTGACTCAATGATGGTCAAATCATACAATCATTTTTCCGAAAAGAATATGCGCATGAGCCGTGACCTGGAAGGAACAGAAGTTTCACCTGTTATATGGGGTGAACTTTATGACTTGGTCGGCCCGATTTTATATATCATTGATGGCACCATCGGATTACTGAGTGAACGTTTTCGATTTTTCGTACAAAAAATCATTCGGAATTCGACCCATGTATGGCTTGCATTACTCTAATAACCATACCCCCTTTAAGCCACACCCAACACACCCACTTTTTGCTGTAGTGCGTTTTTTTAATTACTCCTCCTTATAGAACCACGCCCATATAAAAATGATTGCCCCACCCCTAATTAACAGGATGTTCCACCTACAGTGGCTTTCTTGACACACAGGAAAAAAAAGTGTCCCTAAAAATTTTTAGAAATGTTGCCCACTATGAGACACTGCATTTCCGGTGATATGATCAGGTGTTTCTCTAGCACTGTATTATATTATATACGGTCTCCGCTGGGCTACTTTTATAGAATAACAATAAATCCTTGGTGCTACAGGCCAGCATATTTAAACTTCCAGGTCTCTGAGGCTTCATTCACATCTGAGCATAGCATTTTTTCAACCTTTTTAGTGGGATTTTACTGCGATTTTTGTGTGTTTTAGCCGTTTTTGAGCTTTGGCATTTTTGTATTAAGCCAAGAGAGAAAAAAATCACCTATTGCATAATGTTGCTAGGTTTTTCTATCTTTTTAGTTTTTCCATCAGCTTTTAATTTTTTTATTAATATTATTATTATTATTATTCATTTATTATTATTTTGTTTTTTTGTTAGGGTAAGGGGTTAGAGTTAAGGTTAGGATTGGAGGTTAGTATTTTATTTATTATTTATTATTATTTATAGTATTTTATTTATGATTTTCTTTTTTTTCTTTCTATTTGTTTATTTTTTTGTTAGGGTTAGGGTGATATTGATTATTATTATTATTATTATTATTATTAATTAATAATAATAATAATAATAAATAAACATAAAATAAATGCACAAATATATTAAACCAAGTTTTGTAATATTACATGAATAATAATTAACCCATAAACCCAAAAGGGGAATTTTGCTTTAAGCTGTTGTCCCCTGCTGCCCATTAACGATTGGCACCTTTGGGGAGCGGGTATCCGAATTTGACAGGTACCCGCTCCCACATCCACTGCGATCGCCTAGACGTTGTCCTCCCCCCTCCCTTCCCATAGTCTTCTGGGCCTTCTGACAGGTCCCAGAAGACTACAGGTCCATTCACAAAGCGCAGCACTTCTCAGGCATGTGCAGTGGGCACCCGGCTGTGAAGCCACTAGCTTTCACAGCCGGGTGCCCAGGGGTGTATTTAGCACAAGGCATTTGCCTAGGGTGGCATTTTTCAGGGGGGCAGCAGCATTATTCGGGGGGGGCAGCGCTGTCCCCTGAAAGAAAGAATGGAAGAAGGGACACACGCAGCACGGGGACCAGGTGGGATCTGAGAGAGGCTGCAGGCTGCTTGATGGTGTATGCAGAGCCCGACTCTTGTTCTCGGGGATGTCCAGAGCTGTGAAGGTGAGTGTCTTATCTCTTGCCAGGATGGGGTGGGGGGGTTGCCCGGTAGTAGTGGAAGGCTCTTTTGGGTGGGGCTGGGCTGTTGTTGTTTGGTCAATGTCCGTGGGGGGCAATGTTTGTGTTGCCTAGGGCAGCATGAAACCTAAATACACCGCTGGTGCCGGCACGGGGGAGAAATGATGGCTGGTGAGGACACCGCTGGACCGAGAGACAGGTAAGTGTCTGTATTTTAAAAGTCAACAGCTACAGCTTTTGTAGCTGCTGACTTTTATTTTATTTTTTTTTTTTGCAGCTAGAACTCTGTTTTAACCCCCTAAAACCTAAAAAAAAGTAATGAAATAATAATTTATTTTTATTCTTATAATTATTATTATTGTATTTTTTTGTTCGGGTGTTTATTATTATTATTATTATTATCATTATTAATAATAATAATGATAATAATAATAATAATTTATTTCATTTTTTAAGGTTAGGGGTTAATTATTATTTATTTATCATGATTTTTTTATTTATTTGTGTATTTATTTGATTTATTTTATTTATTCCTATATTATTACTTTTTATTTATTTTTTTCCATTGTTTAATTTGAGCAGAAAATTGTGCAAATCGCGCGTTAAAACGTGCGAAAGTGTGCAAAACGCGCCAATTGCGCATTTCTATTCTTTACTATGAGAATAAAAACACACCAAAAATGTGCAAATCTGCCCACTTTAAGCTACAAAAGTAGCTACAAAACTTTTTTGAGCTTCAGGCATTCTGCTTCAGGCGACTTGGAGTGGAGATGTGAACCATCTCCATAGAGTAAAATTGATTTTTTTTTCCCCCTGAGGGTTTCGGAGCTTCGAGCTACAAAACGCTCAGGTGTGAATGCAGCCTAAGGTGTAGCCCCAGCTATAGCAGACTACTCAACGCCTTCTTAGCCTAGTAATACAGGAGGTCAATACAGTCATGGCTGCATAATGTTTTCTCCAGGCAGACTAGGGAATTGGAATCCTGCAGGGGAATTTCTTTGTAAATTACAGTGCTTTTACAATGTATATTTGTGGAGCTCCCATAAAAAACACCAAGTGTAGGTCTCTACAGAATATCATTTGTGACTGTTGGGATGGAAAGGAGAACTTTACAATTTGCATACATTTAGAGGTTTGGCATCAGCATGCATGGATTAATACTTAAAGCGGAGTTGACTTTTAATATTGGGGCATTTACCTGTCCAGGGATCCAGTGGTGTCCTCACTCCAAGCCGATTCTGAAATCAGCTGCTGAGTGCTGGCGCCACCGATTCGATTTCCACACAGCCGGTTTCCTATTGCGCATGCGTGAATCGTGCTGTGCTTTGTGAATGGGCTTCTTGAGTTTCCCAGAGGGCTGTGTCAAACTGAGATGGAAGTGGGAGTGGGTACCTGTCAAAACCAGGTACCCACTCCCCCCCGAAATGGTGCTAAATGTAAATGTGGGCAGATAAGCAGAGCTTCACCTTTTGGATGGAGCTCCTCTTTAAAGTGTTACTAAACCCACAACAGTAAAATCAGTCTGGATATGCAGTAAAGCATGATTGTTAAACTCACTATGGAACTTAAGGGGTTAATCATCCGCATTGTGTAAAAATTATGTAAAAATTATGTTTGATCCCATCTTCCCTGATCCTCCCTTTCTTCTACTGTCCCCAATCCATCTGCTGATAGAGCAGAGCCTGTGGGGGAGGGTGATGTGTGTGGGGGGGTGCGGGCTGACACATGCTCAGTTTGATGTGTATTCCTAAAGAGTTTTATTTTTCTGGGGAGAGTGCATGTGATCAGCTCAGGGCCAATCAGTGCTGTGTACACAAAGGGTCAGGGGCTATGCAGCTCATAGGATAGTCAGATCAGAATGAAAACTCCTCTCGCAAGCTTTAACTAGTGCTTTGCTGGACACTGATAAAAGCCATAAGAATGCTATATACTGCTGATGAGAAAAGGTATTTAGCAGTTTATATTTACTAAAATAATTGCATTTCCATGTAGTGTGTACTGTGGGAGACGAGATACTGTATAGTGAATGCAGGATCCTGGGTGTAGTAACATTTTAAGTTACACTGATTGGCAGTTTTTCAATAGATCCAGTTCCTATGGGATTTACTGTTATGATGATTCAATGATTGACCTCAACATAAGATTGTAACTTTCTGGATTTTAAACCTGTTGCTTTAACATCTATTGCCCAGAGAACAGTGCTCGCTTCCGTGTGCCTGTGGCAAGCATGTATGCCCACACTGACTCACTAATTGTATCCAGGACCTTGATTGGTAGTGAAGGATTGGGGGGAGAAGGTATATTGAGAAGGTAACGCCAGCAGGGATATTTTTTTTAAGCCTACAACACCATTGGCTGCCACTGGAGGAAGACTTCACTGAAATCTAGCGGGATACAAAATAAAATCTGTTGCACTCTAAGGGCTCATTTACACTTGCTTGAATTTCAACACACATAAAAATGCCTACTGCTTTTGTATGTGTTTTTAATGCTTTGGTGATGCTTCTGTGAAGGTTTAATGAAGCTTGGCAAATGTCCTGTGTATACTGATTATCTATTTTTTTTAAAAGAGCCCAGTAGAACCCCAGCTTAGTATTACTCCCACTCAGCAGATCCCCAGTTCATTAGTACCCCTTTTCAGAAGATCCCCAGCTCATTAGTACTCTCGTTCAGCAGATCCTCAGCTTATTAGTACCCTCATTCAGCAGATCCCTTGCTCAGTAGTACCCCCAGCTTTGCTCATGCCCCACTCAATAATACCCCCAGCTTTGCTGATCCACCACTCAGTAGTAACCCCAGCTCTGCTGATCTCCCGTTCAATAGTAACACTCCAGCTCTGCTGATCCCCCAATCAGTAGTAACCTCCAGCCCCGCTGATCCTCAGGTTTGCTGATCCACCTCTCTCTCATTCCTGCTCACCTCCCGCTTTGAAGCACCAAGAAAGCAGAATGAGGTATATTTTTTGCAGCAAAGCAAAGAAAGCACAACAGTTGAACAGGACTGTGAGGTAACCATTTTATTTAGTGAGAGGTGTTTTGATTGGCATCCAGAGTTGCGTTAAAAAAAGTGTGTCAAATGCCACAAGTACTGGTCACAGCAATCATGTGTCCAGTAGTAAAGATGGCTGCCATTCATACAGCCATTGAGAACTAATGTGATTGGTCACAGTGTTCACATGGTACTGGGCCAAGCACCCACCACCCTGTACCATGTGATAACTGGAGCCAATCACAGCTTATCACAGTAGTGTTCTCAATTGCTACCAGGGAAAGCAGCTGAGGAACAGTCAAAAACAATTGCATAATAATATATATATATATTATATATATATATATATATACACACCACACACTATATTTGCCAATCAACCTCCATGGCCACAGGTGAATAAAATCAAGCACCTAGGCATGCAGTAACAGAGACGTTTCTACAAACATTTTTGAAAGAATGGGTCGCTCTCAGGAGCTCAGTGAATTTAAGCGTGGTACCGTGATAGGTTGCTACCTGTGCAATAAGTCCATCTGTGAAATTTCCTGCTCCTAAATATTCCACGGTCAACTGTTAGTCGTATTATAACAAAGTGGAAGCAACTGGGAACAACAGCAAATCAGCCACCAAGTGGTAAAATGACAGAGCGAGATTAGCGGATGCTGAAGGGCACAGTGCGCAGAAGTCGTCAACTGTCTGTAGAGTCAATAGCTAAGGACCTCCAAACTTTGTTTGTTGTTCTGATTACCACAACAACAATGCATAGAGAGCTTCATGGTATGGGTATGGGTTTCCATGGCCAAGCAGCTACATCCAAGCCTTACATCACCAAGTGCAAAGTGTTGGATGCAGTGGTGTAATGCACGCCGATGTCTGGTATATAATCAGTCCAGAAAGTGAAAAAGTCTCACATGTGGTATTGCCATACTCAGAAGGAGTAGCAAAATGTGTTTTTGGGGCATAATTCTAAGTATGCCTATGCCATGTCTTATTTAATTAATTAATTAGATATCTAAAAAAAATTAATTTTCTTTCCTGAATATTTTAAATACTTTAAAAAGACTCACTATGTCTTTCAGAAAATACTTTTGAGTGTTTTCTTTCCAAAATAGGGTTTCTACCGTCCTGGTGTTCCAGGGCCTCCATAAATGTGTTAGTCAGGAAATTAGATGCTTAATTCATGCTCCTTGAAAGTTCAAAGGTGCTCCTTGGATTTTGGGCCACTCTATGCATCTAGGCTGAGAATAAGTCTAACACTGGATTATGCCTAAAATGGTAGTAATCTCGTTTTTTTTTTTTTAATTTTACCTACAGGTAAGCTTACCTGTAGCTAAAATGAATATCTCCTAAATGTGCACCGTTTAGGGAGATATTCTCTCTTTTTTAAAGCTGGTGCATGCGCTCTGAAGGAACGACATACCTTTCAGAGCTATGTGTCATAGCCTGAGACATCATTTGCGGCCGCCTGTCAGACAGCCGGAGCACGCGAACCCTTAAGGAAGGGTGAAGATGAAAGCCTCTGCAGCGGTGACAGCGGCCGCTGGAGGGCTTCATTTTAAGGTAAGTTTTACATAATGTGCTAGTATGCGATGCATACTAGCACAATATGACATTACCTTGCAGAGGACTGGTTTTTTTTTTTTCTTTCCTGCGGTTTACTACTGCTTTAATGAAAAGATTGTGAGTGTCCTGTGAGACAAACAAACCCTATTTGAAAAAATATTACCCCATAGCTTACTTACCCACAGATCCTGAATGGATGGGACTGATTTCCTGGGTTGGTGCGAACTGGGCTCGCAGACGGACTAGTCTTCTTTCTCTGATTAAACTCTTTCTTCCCTCCCTTTCTTCTTCCTCCCCCTTTTTTGTTTTTTCCCTGTCCTTTCTTTCCCTTCCCTCTCCCCCCTTTTTTTTCTATTTTTACACTTTCTGTTCATGGCTGCCTTGATTGATTCAAGGTGTTGATCATTCTGATAGATGATTACGAATGTTTACTGGTAATGTGCCTTGATACTTACCTGCCAACTACAGCACTGCATTATGATGTTATTTTCTAATGATCAATATTGATGGTGCCGTGGTCTCCATGGTTTGCAGTGGGGGGGTTTCAACAGTTTTCTATAGTTTTATCTATCCCACTGGGACCCAAGTGGGCAGGTGGCTTCATCTGGACTGTAAGGATTGGCCTGGTCACTTCATATGTTTTTCCTAATGTTATTTCACGGTGACCATACCTGATGTTTTATGAAATTTGGAATAGACCTTATTTTGTGACCAGAGTTCTAACTTTTGCTTCTTTAATTTAATTAGATTCTTCCCTGGAAGAGGTTAGGGCTCATCCCCAACCATGTCTTTATGCTTTTTGTATGCACTATTGTACTTATATGAAGGGTACTGTTTGAACCCCTGTGCACTCGTTATGATTTGTCCTTTCTGTTTGAAAAGAAAAATTCTAATAAAAACGATTGAAACAGAAAAAGTTTAACACATGTGGTTTCCCCATACTCAGGAAGTATAGCAGATTGTGTTTTGGGATAATTCTAAGCATGCCCATGCTGCATGGGAGAAATAACTTAAAATTACAACTTTGTGAAGAAAAAAAAAACAAATTTGATTGACTCTCTTAAAGTAATGCTAAACACAATCTATCTAATTTACATTATCCCTTCTCTTTCTGTATGTGGACGATGGCACTGTATTTAGTTTAATTTTAAAAAAGTACCTTCTTTCCTATGTGTTATACAGCTGTAACTTATACCATATAGAAATATACAAAAAACTCAGCGCTCACAGTCTTGTGAAATGAAATAGCCCACAAATAAAAAGGAAATAAATTAATGTATAGTTCATGGAACAGTGTCTGTAAGGGCAAGTTCTATAGAAAGATGCTGCATCCTACCATGGAGATGTAGCAAGATGAATGGTTGAATATCTGGATGGATGCCGATCCCACCGTGGAGATGTCATGAGATTGATGGATGAATGAATGCATGGATGAATCATGAGCAGGGGTCCATGGTCACGTCCATGACGGTGATGTTCCAACCGTGTCAGTAGGGGTGAGAAAAAACTGGATGGATGGAAGGATGGATCACTGGGGGGATCAGTGAAATGGGCAGATAATGGGCTCCATAGCTCCTCAGCAATGACAGATCAGGGAAAGATCCATAGCAGCATGCAGGAGAAACAAAGTAGCCAAGGGCATAGGAGTTAATAAAACATTGTAACAATTTATTTACAACAAATATCCACACTTACATTAAGGTTAGGATGTTGCAGCATGGATGTGGAGAAGAGGATGACAGCCTGGCAAGATGGAACCAAAGGTCCCTACAGGTAGATACTGAACACGTGCAGAGCTAGACCTGCAGAAAAACAACCCGGTGGTGGTGATCACGGCCGTCCGTAACCACTTGACCTCCAAAGGATTTACCCTCCTTCCTGACCAGGCCATTTTTTGCGATACGGTGCTGCGTTATTTTAATTGATAATTGCGCGGTCATGCAACACTGCACCTAAATGAAATTTATGTCCTTTTTTTCCCCACAAATAGAGCTTTCTTTTGGTGGTATTTGATAGCCTCTGCAGTTTTTATTTTTTTCACTATAAACAAAAAAAGACCGACAATTTTGAAAAAAATACCCAGTATTTTCTACTTTTTGCTAAAAAACATCAGTAAAAAAATTTTAAAAATCAGATTTCATCACAAATTTAGGCCAAAATGTATTCTTCTACATGTCTGTGCTAAAAAAAAATACCAATACATGTAAATTAATTGGTTTACGTGAACGTGTCTACACATGGCAGTATATATACTGGAATTTTAAAAAAAAATGTCTATTCTAGAAAAGGCGGTGATCAGTGACTTATAGCGGGACTGCGGAGGGCATTTTGACACTGGGGGGGAACTGACTGTCACTGACATCCCAATGTCAGTTAGATTTTGCATTCAGGTACAGTCCAGTGCAGAAAAAGTGCAGCATGTTCTATTTTTTTTCTGGAACTGAAGCATGAAAGGTTTTAAAATATGTTCCCAGTTAGTGAAAATGAAAGAATGGATCAGTAGTTACTGCTCCATTTCTTCATTCTCCATTCATAAATTACTATGATTCCTCTCCTTCCTTTCTATTCCTTTTCTCTGGACTCTGTAGGAACGAGAGGAATCTCCAACAGTAGTATGATTACATTTGGGAGCACTGTGATTAGTCATCACAGCTATCACAGGATACAGAGCCCCTTAAATTGGCTCTGTACACTGCATCTGTGGAGCAAGTTGCCTGATGACAGCACTGTAGGAATTACTGCAGTCACTGTTTAAAAACATATGGCAGTACAAGAGTGGTTACTCAATGACAGTACCAAGAGAGGATCCTCCTTATGATTCATGTCTATAAATGTGCTGCTTCCAGCCTTTGAATAGGGCAGGAGGGCTGTTTGCGGACAAGCATGACCATGATGTGGAGATACAACACCTTGGTCAACTAGATGAGTATGGGCATGCAGCAGCAAGGCTCCAGACATATCCTAGGTGCAAGACAAGTGAATCTTACTAGGTTATCTGCCAGTTATGACTGGCTTACAGCCAGGCAGGACTGGTGCTCCTAGAGCCTGTATAACCTACTCTCTGCATCCTGTGTATATGCCTGTTTAGTGTTATTATTGTAGTATCTTCTTGACCTGTCCTGTGCCTCCAGGGTGATTGTCTGTAGTAAGTGGTACCATTGGGGTACTTGCCAGGTTTGTCCTATACGTCTGGTGTATTAAATCATAACTAGGTGGTACAGCCTCATTCACATGGCCACTTTGGGCCATACGCTGACAAAACTGAGCATAAATCTCTAACTGGTTTGTAAGGTGTGACAGGCTGGTAAGCGCTGCGACTGTTCGCATGTAAATGCACATCACCTTAGTTAAGTGCGATCCGGGACAGATGAGTGACTCTGTACCCAGACAGTCTGCGCCCAGAGCCGCTCATCTGTTCCTAATTGCATGTAACACCTTGAATGCTCAAATGTAAATTTGGAAATTTTCAGCGTCTCATTAGACTGCACAAACTGAGTGACAGCTAATTGCAAACATTTCTGGAACCCACCAGTGATGTAAGCTCATTCTTGATGGTATATTGCCCAAAGCAGTTGTGTGACTAAGGCTGGGAGTTTTCCAGTGCACCACCTATCCTGTCCTATACTGCAGTATCCTCCTAATCTATCAGTAACAGCACTCAATTTTAAAACTTTCTTGCCACTGTTTTTAAATTGACATTTGAAAATAACAAATGCAATGATTTGAAGCTTCAAGGAAAACGTTGGAGCAATAAAATTATTTTGGTATTGAAACTGTAGATTAACCAATATTGATCAATGCATCAGACCAAAGAGAGGGACAATTGAAGAAGAAAGGCAGTCTGGAGCTATTTAGTAGAACATAGGGTGTGTGTGCACTATTATTACCGTTAGGCCTTGTCCAGGACATACAGGGGCTGGACAAAAATATGGAAACACTACATGATTTGCAGGTGTGAAATTGACAAAATGTTTCACGTTGAAAGTAGAAGAAGTAGTGTATCATTATTTTCCTTTCGCTGTGTGATGAGACACTGCTAACAGGTGGGAAACTAACAGGTTTC